GGGAGATTTTTGGGAATTTTTAGGGGAGATTTTTGGGAATTTTTTGAGGGGGATTTTGCGATCTGGAGGGGATTTTTCGGGGAATTATTTTGGGGGAGATTTTGGGATTTTTGGGGGAGATTTTTTGGGATTTGGGGAGGATCTTTCAAGGAATTTTTGGGGAACATTTTGGGATCGTCGAGGGAAATTTGGGATTTTGGGAATCGAGTCAATTCCGGAATTGCTGAATTCAGGCCAGGAGCGATTTGGGGATTTGAGGATTTTGGGATTTGGGGATTTTCTGCCATCGAGGAGCTCCCAAAATCTCCCCAAAAATTCCCCAAAAATTCCCCAAAATTCCCCAAAATTTGGTTTTTTCCAGGCGTTCCCGGTGCTGGTGGGGGACATGGACAACAGCGGCAGCCTCAACGCGCAGGTGGTGCACCAGGTGAGCGCCCGGATCCGCTCCAAAATCGCCTTCCAGGTACGGAATTCGGGAATTTTCGGGAATTTTCGGGAATTTTCGGGGATTCTGGGGGAAAATTTGGGAATTTTGGGGGGTTTTTTCAGGAGTTTCGGAGGTTTTTATGGGGTTTTTTGGGGATTTTTTTTAATTTTCAAGGGAATTTTGGTGAAATTTGGGGAATTTTAGGGGGATTTGGGGAGTTTTTCAGGGATTTTTTGGATTTTGGGGATTTTTTGGGATTATTTGGGGATTATTTTGGGGTTTTCGGGGGTCTTTTGGGGTTTTTTTTGAGGGATTTTTGGGAATTTTTAAGGATTTTTTGGGGTTTTCTGGGGGTGAGCTCCTGGATCCGCTCCAAAATCGCCTTCCAGGTACGGAATTCGGGAATTTTGTAATTTTTTGGGAATTCTGGGGGAAAATTTGGGAATTTTTGGCGTTTTTTTAGGGTTTTTTTGGGGGATATTTTTGGGCTTTTTTGGGGATTTTGTGGGATTTTTTTGGGGGGGGGGAAGGGTTTTAATTCTTGGGGGATTCTTTGGAATTTTAAAGGAATTTTGGTGAAATTTTGGGAATTCTAGGGGGATTTTGGGGATTTTTCAGGAATTTTTGGGATTTTTTGGGAATTTTTAAGGATTTTTTTTGGGATTTCTGGGGGTGAGCTCCTGCCTCTGCTCCAAGCTCGCCTTCCAGGTATGGAATTCGGGAATTTGGGATTTTTTTTGGAATTTTTGGGAATTTTCGGGGAAAATTTGGGAATTTTTGGCGGGTTTTAGGGGGTTTTTGGGGGATTTTTGGGCTTTTTTTGGGATTTTGGGGGAATTTTTTTTGGGGTTTTTTTTTTTTTTTTTTTTGGGGGATTTTTGGGCTTTTTTTGGGATTTT